TTGTTATATAAAAAAGTACCTGTCAAATAATGACAGAGTAGCCTACAGACAGTAGTAAAATATTATCGCAGTCAGAGTCGTGAATGTCTTCATTAAACCTGCACACTTTTGAACTTAATGGACGACTTCATAATTTTTAAGTTCTTTCAATTAAACAAATTATCTATATAACCTATCCAAGTGAGAGTACCTCACGCTGGAAAAAGTCCACTCTTGTACTTTCATGCACAACTACATGATTTATTATTATCACTCATGTATTAACGTAATATATTTTCACTAGGGCTAAATGTCTCACCAGTTATTAACATGTTTTATTTGATGTTTTATTTGATGTATATATATATATTTTATCATTTTGTTCATACAAGTTTAGATATGATATTAAACCTGTAAAATAATATAAGTTTAATGTAAAATATGGAATGGGTTTTGCTGACTTAATTGCGTCGTTAGATTATAAATATTCTGGATGCATAAAAATGCCTCATTATCACTGAACATCGTGAATAAATCGTGATTAAATAGACACATTTAAAAAAAATATGACAGAAGTACGACAAGCGCATGACACAGACAGCAAACAGCGGCAGTTATATTAGACACACACTCAAACCACAAGCTGACCTTATACGGATCTCCTTTGATCGCTTTAATATGCGCACTGAGCTCCTGCACTCACAGTAAACACCGTTTCTCTGATGTGCGTAACGTGTTGCGGTCACAAGAGAAGACAACTTGACTCCGTGTCCGTGTGTTTGTCACCATGGTAACGCCACCTGTCGCTTGTCAGTGCTGAAGTTTCCCCGCCACGATGTAAATTAGCTTAATGTCTCTTTAAGCATGTATTTATTTCACATTTTAGGGATTTAAATAAGCCGAATTCATCATTAAACTTTATTTGAGGTATGTATTGCTTCATGTTATGATAAGCGTCACTAAAGTCCTTGTAAACTGTAGAAACCTTAAAAACACATGAATTCTTGGGCAAGTTCTGTCTTTTTTCTATGATTTCTAACCTGTAGTGTATTTAGAGATATTAGTGATGAAGCTCTTGATAGATTTATGTAATGCTTATACAGAGTTTCAAGAATAGTCCACTCGTCTATGATGATGAATGAACTGTCAAATCTACAAATATAAACATGATTTTGGGATTTGTATAAAATATTTATAAAAGCCATAGGCCTGTAGAAGTTGACACAGTGTCCTCTGAAATAATTATGCCATGCTTTGTCAAGATTAGTCCACTGGTCTAGGGAGATAGGAAACATGTAAACATGTGCTAACATTTTTATGATACCAATTTGTTGTTGTTGTTCTGTTTCAAATTTTCAATGAATGAAGCATTCTCTTATTCATTTGGTCACTCAATCCTAATATACACAACTGCATACTCATACTATTGATATATTTGTGCTACTATCACTTTCATGTGTGTTTCATGTGCACAGTAAGTTCCTTCAAATTCAAAGCAAACAAGGAACAGCATTGCTCACTTCATTGTTCGTATGTATCCACAGCTGATGTGCATTAAGTAAAATATATCACAGGAGCATTAAAGCAAGGCCTTATAAAAATATTTATTTACAAAGACAGAATAAAATATATTTACATTCATGACAACAATAAACAAACAGTTTGGAGTCCAGCGATATAGTAATATGTGTGTGCTAGTCTTGATTTTCTGCCAGTTTTCTGATTTCCTGCAGCAGTTCAGAGAAAGATGGCCGACCATCAGGCTTCTGCACCACCACCGAAGAAGAAAAGGAGACGTAATAGTAGATGAACAGAAGAAGAGGAGAAAGATGTCATGCATTTCTTTATAGAAGGTGTAGAAACATGGTACAGTCAAAATATTAAAATACAAAATGTTTAATACCTCGTGCCAGCAGCGGTACATGATGGCGTACAGTGGTTGTGAAGCACGTTGTGGTCGGTACAGCCTGATCCCCCTGGTGATGTCATCAACTACTTCCACATTTGATCGGTTTTCAAATGGAGTCCGACCCTCAGAGAATATTTCCCACATTACCACACCTGGAGAAAAATAGCCACATATATGTAATATAGACACATATTACATACTTCTATATCTATATATATATATATATATATATATAGATAGATAGATAGATAGATAGATATAGATATAGATATAGACACACACACACAGACACACACACACATGTAGAGAGAGAGAGAGAGAGATTGGGAAGAAAAAGAGAAGCTGCAATCTATTTTAAGCTACAACTACTCAGGAGCTATACACTTGGTGTATTTGGCCTGTGTTTCCTCACCATAGGACCAGATGTCAGACTTGCTGCTGTATTTACTGTAGTGGAGAACTTCAGGGGGAGACCACTTCACTGGGAACTTGGCACCAATTGAACTGGTGTACTGATTGTCTAGAACGTATCTGGAAAACATAGTTGAAGAATTTAAATATAACCAGAGAACAGATGGCAGGAGTAGTTATTCACCATGCTTTAGATTCTATAGGAAGTCTGCATAACAAATGTGGTTAAAATAAAAAAGAACATACCTGGTCATTCCAAAGTCGCTGACTTTCACCACATTGTACTCATTAATCAGACAATTCCTGGCTGCCTGGATATGGAAAAGAAACATTATAAACCAAATATTCAGCTGAAACAGCTTACCAACTAGGCTGTGTGGCAAAGACATTTATCTTTTACACACCCCACTTTGCAGTTATTTATTTGTAAAAAATGTTTGGAATCATGTATGATTTTCATTCCACTTCTCACGTGTACACCACTTTGTGTTGGTCTTTCACGTGGAATTCCAATAAAATTGATTCATGTTTGTGGCTGTAATGTGACAAAATGTGGAAAAGTTCAAGGGGGCCGAATACTTTTGTAAGCCACTGTATGTTTGAGCATTTTAGTTTTTTTATCTTTGGGTTGAGCAGCACAAGTTTTGAAATAGATTTTTTGAATATCGTCCTTCTTCTGTTTTACCAAATCACATATTTTAGTATTTTATATTTTATTTTACCTAAATTTAGCAAGTTATTATTTATTTATAATTTCTAGTTAATCTCTCTTGAAGATGTGTGTTTTTATATTCTTATAAATGCACCATGGGATCTTGGGGTATTTTGGTACACTGAATACTGTGTATATTGTTATATTGACAATAAAGACCTTGAATCTGAATCTGTAGATGTCAAAGATGCATTATACGGGAGTCTGTACAAACTCATTAACAGGTTAAAATCTTACAAAAAATATACCATGATTTCATAGACTGTTACTCATGTTATATAGGATTACTGTGTTGGCTCACCAGGTCTCTGTGGATGAAACTATGTCCCTCCAGGTAATCCATCCCTTCACACACATCCTGGCACATAGACAGAAGCCATGACTCTGGCAGAGTTCTGCTCCTTTGCCGCAGGAAGTTCAGCAGGCAGCCATTCTCCATGAACTCAGCTACGATCAGCAGGGGGCGCTGCTGCAAGCAAACGCCATACAGCTGTACAAGCCTCGGGTGGCACAACCTCCTAAAAGAGAGATCAGTCACAAAATGTTTTTAAGGAGCTCTTTAATTGCTCTTCCTTTTCCCACATCCGGATCATCCCGACATCCTTACATCATGACTTTGGCCTCCTCGATAAAGTCCTCTTCATACATGGCTCCCTCCCTGATGGCCTTGATAGCCACTCTTTGCTGTCCCCTCCACTTGCCAAACCTCACCACGCCAAACTGACCGCTACCCAGCTCCTTCATGAAGGTCAGCTCACTGGGATTGATCTCCCACTTTTCTAGAAGAAAAAACACAAGAACAAGATAAAGTGAGTAAAGAGAAGAGTGAGGTCATCTCAAAATCTCTTGCTCTATGAGACCTAAAAACCAACCAGTGTATAAGACACAGAATAAATACAAGTTGGGAATTTCATGTGCTTTTCATGAAAACTGCCAATTCTTAAAAAAAAAAAAAAACTTTAGTTATATTATTTAGTTAAATATTTAGATTGCTTTTTAATTTTTCTAACTTTGGATTCACTTTCCTATTGCTTATAATGATTACATTTATTCAAAAATAATTCAAAAAATAAAGAACACACCCACATTTAGTCTATGATAATAATGTAATTGCAATATGCCACAGGAAATGTTAAGATAAGATAACCTTTATTAGTCGCATGCGTGGGAAATGAAAGAGGAACAAATTCTGATATAAAGTAACACATCATCTACAAACAGACATTATATTCTAATCTGTATCTTTTTTCAAATCAGGCTACAAAAATGAAAGATACTTTCAGCTGTTTTCAAAATGAAAGATATTTTCATTTTGTGTTCACTCATTTACTTTGCTATATATTAGATGTAGCTCTGGTTGCTTCTCATTCCTGTCCTTGTTAAGGAGGCATTTGCATACATTTATCCAACCAGTTTCTGAATGACCTAATTCTGTCCACATTTTAAAACTTGACTGCTAGCCAGTGAAGCAATTTGATAGAAAGAAGTTTTTTGTTTAAGCTGCTAATTACAGCTGTTTATATATTTCCACTGTTATGTGGAAATATATTAGTTTACAGAGGTTGAAGATCCAGTTTCAGCAAGCTGTCAAAGTTCATCATATTCTTTTAGTAAGAAGAACAACTTTATTCATTGACTGATCATTCCACTTTAACCTTAGCTTTCATCAGGGCGATGAAGGCTACAGGCCAAGCACTAAAGGTTACAAGGGCAAAATGTGTTAAAGCCCGCAAAATTGTTGAAATTCTGTTGGCGCTTCAGTATCTTTAGACATTTGATCTTCTACATGACTAAAGAGCCAATATAGATAGAAACATGGATATAAATATGAGTATCTTAACTGCAAATCATGCAAAGCTACTCTAGCCCAGTCCCAGAATAAAAAATGTGTGAGTTAGGAAATGAGTATAATAGAAAACCGTTTCAATGGCTCAGTAAGAACTATAGCTGACGTGTTTCTCCATCTCTAAATTTAGCAGGTATTTTTGACTAGTACTAGAGAGGATCTGTAAGTGTTTATCTACACATACCTGAGCTGAATCCTGCCGTGGCAGGGACACACCTTCCCATTGGTCCGACTGGATATCGCAACCTGGCCACTAGACCTGCACAAAAAAGCAAACAAACATATTAACTGCAGTATTGAATGGAAAACTGACAGTATTGTTTTTACAAATACCATGTGCTTAATTACCTGCTGCATTGTGTTCATGGTAGTGTATAACCTCAGGTATGGAGCTGAAAATATGTTTTTCAGCTAAGTAGTAGTATTGCTCATCGTCAGTTATTTTAATCTGGTAATGCCTGACATCTCCGCTGGAACTAAAGACAAAGAAACAGAAGTTTGTAGGTTAAGATGTGCTTTGTTTGTGATTTTAATTCAGTGTATTTTTTGTCTTTGTCAGACAGTCTAAGATTTAACCCTTCAGGTTACATGAATCACCTATTTGTTTTGGTGTAAACAGAGACGATGTAGACTCCCTTTCGACTAGACTCCCGGACCACAAATCCCCCCTCTTTGTCCTGGAAGAAAACAAGAAATAAACATTATTTATTTGAATAATCATTAATCATTTTTTAAAATAACATAATGTGTCTCAATTTGGATTCTTCTTTTAGTTCACTTTTTGTGCTTTGAAAAAACAACATTTGTAATGTTAAACTATTTAACATTGAATTATCAAGTAATTACTGTGGTACAGATAGCCCAGGATATTTTTGCTACAGTTTTAAAGAGCAAAGTTTTAGTTTGTTTTATCAGGCTGGTACTTGTCTTGCACAGGTTATCACATGTAAGTATCTTCGAAGACAGTTTACTAACCAAACTTGCCATCATTAGCTGATAATCTGATGCTCCGCCCTCTTGACCAAATATGGTCATGTTTATCTCCAACACTCTAAAGATTACATTTCAAAATTTCGCTAATGCTGAGTGTGTGCTTAAAAGCATCCAGTTTGAGTCTGGTCTAAAATAATCAATCAGATACAGCTTTTCACATTTGATAAGCTAAAAACAAAACAAACAAACAAAAACATTTTTTTCCAGGAAACAACAATTATCTAAGTAGTAGTATTTTTAAACACTGCTCAAAAACACTGACTAGAGAGGGGTAAAAACTTCAGTGCATGGTTGATTTATCTCATATTCATTGATTCGGGCCATGTCAGCATACATGAACGCTTCACTGCTAAACCATTGTTTTTGCTCGGCTTAGAGCACATTTAAATAGGTGCATAAATACCTCTTGTCTTAGCAGCTGCTCTGCTTCTGTCCTTGTGATGTTCTTGCAATACCACCTACAGGATGGACAACGAGAATTTAAAGGATTGTTTTTGTGATTCTAAAATGACTAAAAACAAAAGCAAAAAGAAAAAAAGAAGGCAAAAGTCAAAAAATATGGTAAAACTTACGGGTTTGCCTCGATTTTGTTTTTCTCTGTCACATAGTTACTGGGGATGAAGCCTTTATTTCTGATAGAAACAGAGTAGGAAGAAAAAACACTGATAATCTAGAATCTTTAAGATGTTTAAGAAATAAATAAAAAAAATAGTTCTAGATTGAAAAATTTATTTACATTTCAAAATGAAAACTTGTGGGGTGTATTTCATACACTATGAAATATTTTTATCTATACTATATGTTATTATCACAAAAATAAACAAACATATTTTTGTGTCCAGAAAACTTCACATTCCTATAACAAAGCAATATTTATTTGTTTTACTGATCAAGCTCAATCCCACCAATAATTGCTCTATGATATCTTATATGAGCAGTAATATTGCTCAAAATACTCTTGCTGTAACCAACACAAACACCGAAATTTAAATTGAAAGTACCCGTGCTTGTCCTGCGCCCGCCACCACAGCTGGTCTTGCTTGTGCAGTATGATGTACTCCTCCCCCTGTGGTCACAACACAAAAGATTAACAAATCTCTGCAGTTTATTTTTGTGTGTCTATTTGTTTGCATGTGTGTGTATACCTGTTTGAGTGTGAGGTCAGTGTTTTCCTTGGCGGTGAAGTCGTACATGGCTACGACACTCAAGAGGCCCTCACCTTCACCGTCCTCACCCTCGGGAGGGGGGAGGGGGAGCTTTCTCCTTGACCTCTCGACCTGTAACTGAGACAAAAAGTAAAGATTAATTCATAGAAATGAACGAAACATTGAAACACACAGAAGCAAACCCAGTTGACCTACCCGGGTGGCTTGTCCTGAATACCGTCGGTTTGGGAAACAAAGGGAGGTTCTGCTCTCCAGCTCCACACGAGTGCTGAACTCCCTGGAATCAACCAATCAATCAGTGAGTCTATATGCCACATATGTTTTTTTGTTTTTATCCAAACTGATTCAGTTCACTTCGGTTTCATTTATATAGCACCAAATCAAAACAATAGTTGCCATGTGGTGCTTTATATTTTAAGGCAAGGACCCTGCAATAAAACCAGCAGAGTCGCCTCCTGGTGACCATTTTAAAAATGCAGGTTTGAGGCAGCCTTTATTTCACATGTCTGGGTCTGTGTGTCAGTCTGTGTTAGCACTGTTTTATTTTGAAAGTCTTGAGTCTCATGTGCTTGGGTTTAATTCTACTTCCCCTGCCTTGTTATTCTGTTTTTGGTGCCAGCTGTACTCCCACCTCCTGTTCTTCCCATCATTTTTTTAAAATCAGGTATAACTTAATGTTTTGATCAGTATCTATAAAATGAACGAGCTCCTTGGTTTTTTTTTATGTTTGTTTTGGATTCCTTAAATGCCCACCTGGTCTGAACAGCACAGCAGCAGCAGATGATCGACCGGATAGAGTGATCTGAAGAAAGGAACAAACAAGAAAAGAGTTGAATTAGTGAACAAATTGTAAACATAATGGAGCTTTCAGTATGTTCATTTATTTTCATGGAGTGTCATATTTAAAGGAAAAAACTAAATCATGAAGCATAAGCAGATGCTTCCATACAGGCACTGTGGGGTGAAATGAGCTATTTATAAAAGTTTCCCAGGGCTCTATTCCTGGCACACTTTTATGTTCAAATATACCTCTTCCGCTTTTAATCTAGATTAATCAAAGACATAACATTTTTTCACCACTGCAGGTTAATATGGCCACCTGCTATCAAACAGTTCCAGTAGCCTTGATCTGCCACAAAGCTTTCTAAACTAATGAATCTAATGGATTAGTTCATCTTCTTCTTTTGACTGCTCTCTTTAGGGAATGCAAATCCCTAGTATCGTCCAATGTCACACCAACCTTCTGCATGTCCTTCTTCATCACTGTATATCCTTGTAGCTCCTCTGTGGTCTTCCTCTTTTCCTCCTACCTACTAGCTCCATCTTCACCATCCTTTCTCTAATATATCCACTATGCCTCAAATCATCTCAACTCTATCTCTCCAACTTAACTTGACGTATTAGTTATTCCTCAAAATAAAAATCTATGGTCTTGGGCTACATTAAGCTAGGTTCACTGGCTAGGCCATTGATTAGCCTCTTAAGATCTGAAGAATTTCCATAGTTATATCACTCTTAGTTGCTACAACACATTTATTCTTCCCTGCTTTGACTACTAGAGTACTTTTACCTCTCACATCCAGAGTCAAGTTGGATTCACTTTTGGAAGCACAGCATGAGTAGAGGTCTCTTTTTTTCCTCTTGTACTTTCCCATTGTAGTGTACATTTCAGTGTTTTTCTGTAACACTACCGATCTCCGACTTGTATCCCCATGTAATGTCTGTGTTGTGTGTGTAAGGTCGGGGGGGGTGGGGGGGGTGGGGGTGTGTGGGGGGGTGTCCCATTTCACTGCAGGGCAACCCGCCTGTGGCGAATAAAGCTTTGATTGATTGATTGATTGATTGAAATTTTATGTATGACAGTCTTATAATAAAAGACCCCAAATGTTTTAACATCCTCTAGTTTCTGAGATCAGGCTTTTTATTATGAAGGAGTTAATATCCATTGGGTGTTCGGCTGTCCTTCCCAATTTACATTCAGATAACAAAATGCGTAAAGATTTGAAATATTTTTTTTGCCAAGTTTTCTGTTGGGTAGAGAAAACAACAGTTGACTTGATTTAGGAATCCTAAGTCAAAACAAAACCATATTCCTCTAAAAATAGTAGGGTGGAAAAAGAATGGGAAAAGCAGCCAATGTCCAAAGAAAATCTCTGAGAGACCTTCAGAAAGTCTAGAGAGCTATTGCCTGAGTCCACTTAAAGATAAAATGACAACACAGGTTTACATTCACATTTGCTGATTGACTTTCAATGTAATTTTCCATTTCTGTTTACTCACGACTAAGACACGCACAACGAGATTTAGAGATATCTCATATTTCATGCGGTTTAAAGACTGAGCAGCCAATGCTGACAGGCTTTTAAGGGTGTTTGGATGACGTTTGAGGCCCAGTTACATAAAATACACTTATCTCTGTGTGGATGAGGAGAGGTCTATGACATGCTTAGCTGTCTAAAACAGCTAAGCATGTCATAGATATCTAGTGGAACTGCAAAGCCTAAACCACAATTAGTGATATTGGAGCACTTCAGACTGTCTATCACAGATATGGTGTAGACATGATAATTACGTCAACTTTATTTTCGTTGCTTAAACTTGAGAGTTGAATGACTTTGAAAAAGTTTTATTGCTAGCAGAAGCTTTAGTCAAAAACACTGCTCATCTTAGCGTGTCGTCTGCATGCAGACATCCGTAAAAGCAGCGACGGAAATTGTGGCCAATGGCTTTCATTTGATGGCCGTGATGCTCTCAGTGCAATACGTTGCATGAAGGTGATTGTAAGAGTAAGTGCAGGATGTGATCACACTGTCAGTTCGCACGGTCAGACAATCAAAGAAGAGAGAGAGAGAGAGAGAGAGAGAGAGAAGATGTTATGGCAGGGCTCTCTTTACAAAGAAGAGTGCATTAGTGAGAGCTCAGTGTTGCTAAAAACCACAGAGCCAGAGTTAGTGGAAAAAGAAGAGTGTGGTCAGATGAGTCATCTTTCACCAAAATTTGCAATAAGTGAACAAGCGCACATGAGGGGAACACATTAAAGGGCCGAATGCTGGACCCCTGGATTTTGCACCCTTATGTGTGGTGTCCACACATAGGGGTGCACTGCGGGAAGAGGTCAGATTATAACACGAGTTGATGCATCAATGTATGGTCTCAATGGTTTCTATTACTCATCACTCTCTGCAGTTTAAAAGAACCAGAAACATTAATTAATGAATGGATGACTCTCCTTCCACCTCAACCTGAATTAAGTACAACACTGAAATGCTTCTTTATTTTTATCTATTTTTAATTTGGGGTCATATACTAAATATACTGTTACAAATATATACTGCTACTCAGTTTCTGGCGGTCCACTCTGCGCTCTGTATGATGTCACACAGAGTAAATATCCCTAATATGGCTGTGGTGGTTGCAAGAGGCAACCAATCAGAAGCTTTATTGAAGGGGAAGGAGCTAAAAAGCTTGTTTCACACACAGGATGACCTGAGAGGAATCACCAAGGCCCAGTTTAAGATAAATAAGGATAATTTAGAATTTTTAATGATGCAAAGTTACTGTAGTGCAGGGGTGTCAAACTCCATGCCTCAACGGCCGGTGTCCTGCAAGTTTTAGATGTGTGCTTGATCCAACACAGCTGATTTAAATGGTTAGATAACCTCTTCAACATGTCTTAAGGTTCTCCAGAGACCTAATCACTTGATTCAGGTGTGTTTACCCAGGGTGATATCTAAAACCTGCAGGACACTGACACTTGATGCCTGGAGTTGGACACTCCTGCTCTAGTGGAATCCAGTATTGCAAATCCAGAGTTCAAAGCAACCACAATGGTCAATTTTTATAAATATACTAATACAATAAGAAACTTCGATGGGGCTCCTTCAGGATCAGGACTTTCGGACCTTTGGTTTTCCATTCCAGGTGAGTGTTTCATCTCTCGACCGCTGGTTCATTCGTGCTGCCAGATGCTCCTGATGTGCAGTCAGTTTCTTCAGCCAGTGGGTCTGAATCATGTCAGGGCCTGGTGCTGTCCAACTCTTCACACAGGAGACTCTTTCCTGGGTGCCTGCCACGGTGATGGTTACTAGATCCTGTTCAGGAAGGTTGTTCTCATATTCTTCCCCTGCCACTGAGAGTACACCTCGGATGGTTCAGTGGAGAACTGCTGATTTATTGGCCTGCCTCTACCTTTACAATTAGGTGAATTCTTAGCTTGGAGGTTTCCAAAGCCTCAGGCACAGGCAGGTTGCTGTACTTCTTAGGCGCCCCTTTCGTCATCAGACTTCTGCAGGTACAAAAACTGGCTTGATATTTTTGCTTCTAGTGTCCTTTAAGCTGCTCCTTGTGGCTGTTTGTCGTATAGCCAAGCAGTGATGGTCACAGTAGAGAGTGTCCATAATGAGGCATTTACATCTTCTACTAGATGGGGGCGACCGTGGCGCTGGGGGTTGGGAAGCGCATCTGTACCTGGAAGGTCGCCGGTTCGATCCCTGTGCTCTCTGTCCTGGTCGTTGTGTCCGTGGGCAAGACACTTTACCCTACTGCCTACTGGTGAGGGGCCGATGGCGCGATATGGCAGCCTCGCTTCTGTCAGTCTGCCCCAGGGCAGCTGTGGCTATAACCGTAGCTTGCCTCCACCAGTGTGTGAATGTGAGAGTGAATGAATAGTGGAATTGTAAAGCGCTTTGGGTGCCTTGAAAAGCGCTATATAAATGCAATACAAAAATAGGGTATTTCACATAGTCTTAAGAGTTAACCACAGAGGGTCGACGTTCCCATCTCTCTCTCTCTCTCTATCTGTACTAAAATCAAATAAAACTAAAGGTTAATTAAATAATTTGAATTTTTATTTCAAACGGAACAGATTAGACTTTTGCCTCCAGACGCAGCTTCCTCTGTAGCTTTGGTCATCTCTTGATATTAAGTTCAAATACATGTTAATGTTCTCTCTGTGGTTTTGTGTAGGAGGTCTTTGTCAGGAAGTGGAGTTTCCTGTGAGCCTGTGTGCGCATGCCTGCATGTGTGTGTGTGTTTATGTGGGCCAGCAGACAGGTGTGTCTGTGTGTGATGGCTGCATTCCTTCCTGTGCAACTTTATGTGTTTGAGAGAACAAAAAAACACTCAAAGGCAAAATGCTCGAAGTGTCACGTGATTTTAACTGTAACTGCCAAATGCATCTATGGCATGTCCCATCATGCTTTGCATGTGCCCTCCCTGTTGTAGAAGTTAAGCCATGGGAATTATGAACTCTCCTGGTGGTTTTTGGTGAACCAACACCCTAATAACAACCAATCTCCGAGGTTTCTATCAGCTGGGGCCCTAAAAACCTCAACTTTTGGATAAATAAAAGTTACATTTTATTAACTGATTTGTGTTTATATGTATTTATTCTGAAACGTTTTTTACTTAAAATTTTTCCTCCCACTGGTGCACAATGTCATAATTACAAAGTACAGTTTTAAATCCTAAATCCTGTTTACTTTTTTGTAGGTTGTTATGTTTTAAAGGACGATCAGGCTACTGGGAGTGGATGAAGGATCTGCCCAGCCCAGGAGCCACTGCCAGTCTAAATCTCATTGGACTGGCAGTCAAATCTAATTTAGGATGTGGTCCCAGCTGGTGAATATTTATTTAAAAGTTTACCTGTAAAGAAAAAGTAGGATGTGGGACAGCTTTAGACGAGGGCTGCAGTCAAATAGCCCAAAAAAATGACCTCTTCTATATCTGATCACCCAATGGAAAATGTCACAAGGTCGAGGAAAGGTGTGAAGGAGAATCAGGAGTTAGGAAAAGAGAAGCTCGGTGATCAGAGAAACAAACAGCTTTTAAACGCAACTCCTCAACAGTGTGATCATTTATGTAGCTGACATATTTCTTCAGGATCATAAAATGCTCATCTCGGACTATTTATTGGTGAAATCATGTCACTTCCTTACCAACATTGTAAACATTGTATAAACATTGTATAAATAAACAGGAATAAATGGGCTGTAAGGTGAAAGGAAGTGTTTGCCATACTGTGTATAGTTGCCTATCCTGTCCGCTCATATTTTCACTTCCTACTGGAGAGGTGATCCAGTGTAACCTCTACCTATTCAGGTCTTCTGTGATTGAAGTGACTTGTGACTGCAATACAGCAGCTGTTAAACTGTGGACTCAGCTCAGAGGTCATCCAAATGACTGTGGCTGTGAATAATTAACGAATCCAAACCGTTCTCTGCTCCACTAACTGGACGTTCAGCTGAAAACTTTCTGTTTCAGGCATGGTTACAGAGAATCCACCTGCTGGTACCACAGGACCTGCATTCGTTTTATATTTTTGCCCCTTACTGCATCATAGTAGATATTAACCAAATGTTTTCTAATTGTTTATCATTATGACTGATGGGATGAAATCATCTCTTTTCTTTTCATAAGAAATGTTTCAGTGTTTCCTCTAAGCTATTCACCTTTCCTGAGTATTTAAAGAGATGAAACAGCTCTTAATATGGCCATCATGCAGATACTTCTGTTTCAAGTCACTTAGTTAGGAAGTTCCCTAAAGCAAACTGACTCTTTGACTATAGCCTCTGTGTCAACCTGGTTAGTAAGTCATCCGTTGAGGTTATTGGCTTTCATTAGATGAAAGCAGTCATCAGATGCGTCCTTGTGTTTGCTTTGGCCACTAGCAGATTGCTAAAGTCATCCATTGACTGCACAAAAAAGGCAACTTGTCTGCAAACACCTGCCAACCTCTTGCCGATCAGTAAAAGCAAAACTCTAAAAGGTTTACAAAGTGTTACAATATGAAACTCTGTTATGAGTTATTGTTGCAATCAACACATTTCAAGTGTTTCTATGAAGGAAAACAATTTCCAGTTTGTCTCAGATTGTGTTGAGTTTCACTACTGCTTGGTAATTAGTTGGAGAGTGTTTGCAGACAAACTGGCATCTTACTTGCAAACTAAGGGTGACCACAGCAACCTGCTAGCAACCCCAATAAATGTATGGATGATCTTGGTGTAGTAAACCTCTTTGCAGCCAGTTTCACCTAGAGACTTGCAGCAACTTCCCGTAGCTGGTCAGGGAACACACAGTTTTATTGAGGTATCTGTTATTGCCAGGGGGTCTAAGAGGGGTGTAATCGGCAGAAAAAAACCACAGAAGCCATATCTGTGAATTCTCAGATTTCTAAGATTTGTATAACTGATACTAAGTGCATTGCCAGGATTATGTTTTTAAATGGGCTGGCATGGGCCATACATTCAGGTACTGCATTCTTTTTCTTTCTTTACTGCTTTACCAAGTGGTAAAATAAGCACTTAGATTCTAAATAAAAGTCATAATTGTCCTTTAAAAGTAACAGTTAAAGGTTTCAGAGTGTATATAGAGTACCTGAAGTGAAAGCTGTGGATTTTAGTTGACACTTTTTGGGCTTCTGATTCCTGTTTTCTGTGGTTAGCTTGAGGATATTAACTGTAATATTTCCTTTGGGGTGAAAAATGAAGCCAACACTGAAGATGGCGTCATAAGGCTGGTTGCAGACTTCTATTTTAGAATCCTGAAAAGAAACACGTTTATGGCCTGCTATGAAGTAAGTCAGCTTTTCATTTTTGTAACTCATCTTGGAGTTTTACTGGTAAGGCCTAAAATTATTCTTTAACACAGATGCTGTTGGTTGCTTAGCATGCGGACACAGGCAGGTGTAGCTGCTAGCTCTCCGCTAGGCCTCTCCTCTGCTAAACTGGAATTGCAAACTTGTTCTGAAGTGAAAGTCTAATCAGCCTCAGCTGCAAATCAGTGCATAAAGCAAATATTAGCAAATAAATATGCTAACACCATTTATTAAGATGGTGAACATGGTAAACGTTAATTGACAGCAAATTAGCATTACTTTTGTCAACATGAGACTAACATATAGGAGAAACCTGAACTAGCTCTACTTGGCTTCTGCTCAGATTTAAAGGCCAGTATGAGTGTACCTTCCTGTCTGGGTAACTGCACCTTTGTGCCATGTAAGAAACAGAACTGAAACTTTACATTAGCAAGCAAAACACTCCTTTCTGCTCAGCAAACCAGAGGTGTTAGTTTGCATACAGGTGTCTCTGCCTCTGCTTAGCTTTCGGTCGACATTTTCACATTGTCCTTAGCTCAAGGGTTTATGCATAATAGATGTGGAAAAAGTTTCAAGCCAAAACAAGGTTTAACGGTTTAACAGCAGATGCTTCAGGCTAAAAAATACAGTTTTTTTGGATGTGCATACAGATTTTCTCTTCTTTCATTTTTAAACACGTAAACTAAGCCACACTGTTTTCGTGTTGTTGTGTTTGTTTGGTTTTTTGGGGGGTCAAATCAGTGGCTCTCGGGTAAAAGTGCAGGAAAAAGCTAAACTAAGTTAAATTAATTTAAATTATCAAGGGAAATTACTTCATCTGGTTAAAACTCAAGCTTTACTGTTAAGGACTGCAAAAAAAACTGTCAGGTAGGCTGCAGAAGAGGGAATCCAGAAACAGTCAGAGAACTAAGACAACTAAGCAACAAATGAGAACAAGACCTGAAAATCATCCCAGTTCAGACTTTTTAAAGAAGGAACATTCAAGTGAGTCACTTCAGACGGTACGAACGTGAGAAACATAACTGTGGCGTTGAGCCATTAGCAAGAATTAAAGTAAAACTCATGTAAAGCTAGTCTAGTGCAGCCTAAGAAGAAAACGTTGGAGCGGACACCCCTGAACATGGCATTAAAAGATTATAAAGAGCCACAGTTGAGTCTTTGTTGTGTTTTGTCATGTGATGAAGTGACATTTCAAGCCAAACTGCCATTTTGGTGTCCCCTTTAACTGCCTGACTGCCACAGCTTCAGAGATCAAGAAACATCAAAAACTTTCAGAAGACGTTCATAACCTTGATGTTACTTCAGGTAGAAAGTGAAGGGAACCTATGGTGGTATTAAGCCCGGCCGTTTGTTAGATGACGTTTTAATGGTCTCGGATTCATTTCACGCCGCATACGCCGCACATTTCACTCACATTTTCTCCTTTAACGCTGAGTAACTCATTCTTATCAGTGCAAATGTTGGCTTTTTTTGTTAGTTTGCTGCATCCTGCTCCAATATCAAAAGAAGAAATAAGCAAAGTTTGTACGTATGTTCGTAAATTACTTACTTGAGTGAATCATGACTGTCTGTTTCTTTTGTCTTCCACCTCTTCTTTGTTGTCTCCCTCCTTCTCCT